TCTTTACTTTGTTCCTTAAATTGCATTGTTTGACTGGTTTCCCTTGTTCTCTCTTTCATGGTGTATTTTAATTTTCCTTCTTTCACTTCTCTTGTGTTCCAAAAGTACACTACTCTAGGTTGTGTACTTCCTATTATTGTTATTCAGCTCACATAATTCTGCCATATGATTGTTGCTCCATTACTATTATAAATAATTGCTGTTCCCTACAATTGTAAATACTACACAGCACTCTTCCCAGACCTTAGTTAACTTCACTGTACCTGGAACTTTATTACCGTTGTGAATAACTCTATTCTCTCACACACTACACCTATTTTTATCCTTTACTCTCACTTTATCTCATAATCAGACTTCCCTCAAGCTCATTGCTTTCTAGAACCAACTCACTATCCTTCTCCCCTCCCAAAGAGAGTCTTATTTTTTTTCATCATTCCTAAAAAGTAGCAAGTTGGGTAAAATATTATGGTTAACACTACACATATCCAAATGACCTCCTATGTATTCTATATGGGCTGGTACTTTAAATAACATAGAACACTCCAGTTGTCTTAATCCATTTTGCCCCCCCCCAAAAAAATGATAACAAAAAGAGTAGGTGGTAGCTGTGAACACCAGTATACCTGCTGGAAGAAGAAATCTACCAACAAAGGAACCACCAACAGGTAACAGTGAAAGGAGGTAAAGGAGGAAGTGGAAGCCATACTAACATCTACCCAGGACGGATCTGGAAATACAAATAAATGGTGGAGAAATTATACAGAACAAACAACTGAACAGTACAAAAGAGAAGCCTCAAAACCTGGGACAGACAGAAGAACCAGCTTCAAAACAACCTGCCCACACCTGCACAAATGAATAGACAATGTGGGGGAAAGAGTGACCATCAGTTAACCAGCTGGAAGGAAGGACCCACCAAAGAGAGACCAAAAAAATAATAAAAACCCAGAGACATACAGAGAACCAACAAAAACAGCATCCCAAGACCAGCAAGCTCAATGACCAAGGAGACTGCACTACTGAATCACACAGAACTTCTACCCAGAAGTTCACACCAGAAATTCAGGGAGTCAGAACAGATCAATTTAAGAAGCACAGGTTAACAAGAAGAGTCTTACAAACAATGGGAAGACAAAGAAATAATCCCCAAATGGACAGAAGGAGGCCTAAAAAATTCTAAATGAAATAGATGCAAGTCAACTATCAGATATTGAGTCCATTATAACGAAGCTCAATGAGCTCACTGAGAACTATATCAACATGAAAAAGAAAACAGAAACTATCAACAAGGGCCAGGAGGAAAAGAAGAATATAATTTCTGGATTGAAGAACTCAGTAGAAGGTATCAAAAGCAGGCTAGATGAAGCAGAGGAGCAAATCAGCTAGCTGAATGACAAGGTAGAAGAAAACACCCAAAAGAACAAGAAAAGGAAAAGATACTCATAAAGAATGAAGAAGGGTAAGGGAAATGCAGGACCACCTGAAATGAAACAATATCCATATAACAGGGATATGAGAAGGAGAAGAAGAAGAGCAAGGGTTAGAAAACCTGTTTGAAAAAGTAATGATGGAGTACTTCCTTGATTTGATGAAAGAAAATGTCAACAAATCCAGGAAACACAGGAGTCCCAGTCAAGAGGAACCCAAACAGGTCTACTTCAAGACACATCATAATTAAAATGGCAAAATTCCAGGACAAAAAGAGAATCTTAAAGGTAGCAAGGGAGAAACAGGAAGTAACATAGAATGGAGCCCCAATAAGGTTACCAGCTGACTTCTCAATGGAAATACTCCAAGCCAGGAGAGAATGGCAAGAAATATTCCAAGTTATGAAAATCTGAGGCCTGCAATCCAGGCTACTCTACCAGCATGGCTCTCAATTAAGATGGATGGACAAATAAGGAGCATCCCAGACAAAAAAAGCTTCAAAAAATACACATACACCACCACCTCTGAAAGACATGATAAAGGGTCTGCTTTAAGAACACGAGGAAAAAGAGTAAGAGAGAGAAGAACACATATATAAAAAAATAGCAATGAATAAGTACCTATAATAATAATGTTAAATGTAATTGAATTAAATGTGCCAATCAAAAGACAGAAAATAGCTGAATGGATAAAAAATCATGACTCACACATATGCTGCCTACAAGAGAACATCTCAGAACACAAGACCTACACAAACTGAAAGCGCAGGGTTTGAAACAAATGTTCCAAGGAAATGGACAGGGGAAAAAAAGCTGGGGTAGCAATACTCATATCAGACAAAATACACTTCAAGAGCCATAATGAGACGCAGAAGATCACTTTATAGAACTTAAGGGGAGAATCCATCAACAAGACATAAACATTGTAAACATTTATTGACCCAACATAGGAGCCCCCAAATATATAAAGAATATATAAAAAATTTCACATTTTTAAATTGTGAATGTTTTATCAACTTTGCATTCACAGAATAAATCCCATTTGATCATGCTGTATGACCTTTTTGATGCATTGCTGTATCTGATTTATTAATATTTTGTTGAGGATTTTAGTGTCTATGTTCATTAAAGACAAATCTTGTCTTTAAGAAAGGGATCAATGTCAATATAGTAATTGTAGGTGATTTTAGCACCCCACCATTAACAATGGATAGGTCTCCAAAGATTCAACAAGGATATTGTGGCATTGAATGACATCCTAGATCAAATGAACATAATTAATATTTACAGAGCATTACACTCCAGGAAAGGAAATATTCATTCTTTTCAAGCACCCTGGGGTCATTTTCAAAGATAGACCACATGGCGGGACACAAAGCAAGACTCAAAAAATTCAAGAAATTTGAAATCATATCAAGCATCTTCTCAGATCACAATGGCTTGAAACTATAAACCAACTTCAAGGAAAAAAACTCAAAATACTCAAATATATATTGGTGTCTGAATAACAGAATAACATGTTATTAAATAATAAAGGGGCCCTGGTTGGTGTGGCTCAATGGATTGAGTGTTGTTGGCCTGTGAACCAAAGGGTCGCTGTTTTGATTGCTAGTCTAGGTCATGTGCCTGGGTTGAAGGCCAGGACCTCCATAGTGGGTGCGCAAGAGGCAACTACACATTGATATTTCTCTCCCTCTCTTTCTCTCTACCTTCCCCTCCCCAAAATATATAAATACAATCTTAAAAAAATAATGAATGAGATAACAATGAGATAAAAAATACCAAAAAGTTTCTGGGAATAAATAAAAATGTACATACAACAACTCAAACCTGTGGGGCACAGCAAAGGCAGTCCCAGGAGAGAAGTTCACAGAAATACAGGCCTACCTAAAGAAGATAGAAAATTTTCAAATAAACCATCTTGTAGAAGGATCTACAAGAGGAAATTTGCTAAATTTAGTAATTTTTCCTTTAAGCAGGCTTATCAAGAAAAAAAGAGAGAAGACCTAAATAAACACAATCAGAAATGAAAGAAGAGAGATTAAAACTGATACAGAAATACAAAGGATTGTAAAAAATTACTACAAAGAACTGCATACCAAAAAATTGGTGAAATGGACAAATTTCTAGAAAAATATAATCTTCCAAAACTAAATGAAGAAGAAGCAGAATGCCTGAACAGATCAATAATAGCAGATAAATTGAAGCAGTAATAAAAAAACTCCCAACACACAAAAGCCCTAGACCATACAGTTTCAGAGGAGAATTTTACAAAACATTTAAGGAAGAGCTAACCCCTATCCTTCACAGACTATTCCAAAAAACCCAAAATGATGGAAGACCCCCCAAACTCTTTTTATGAAGCCAGCATCATCCTAATCCCCAAACCAGTTAAAGACACAACAAAGAAAGAAAACTTCAGGCCAATATCTCTGATAAACATAGATGCTAAAATCCTCAACAAAATATTGGCAAACCACATACAACAATATATTAAAAAGATCATACACCATGACCAGGGGGGATTCATCCTAGGGATGCAAGGAAGGTACAATAATTGCAAATCAGTAAATGTAATACATCACATAAACAAAAGACAAGACAAAAATCACATGATCATATCAAGAGATGTGGAAAAAACATTTGATAAAGTACTGCACCCATTTAAGATAAAAACTTTCACCAAAGTGGGAATAGAGGGAGCATTCCTCAACATAATAAAGGCCATATATGAGAGACCTACAGCCAGCATCATACTCAATGGCCAAAAACTGAAAGCTTTTCCACTAAGATCAGGAACAAGACAAGGTTGTCCACTTCTACCACTTCTATTCAATATCATATTGGAAGTTGTAGCCAGAGTGATCAGACAAGAAAAGGAAATAAAAGGCATCTAAATTGGAAAGGAGGACACTGTTTGCAGATGACATGATAGTGTACATAGAAAATCCTATAGACTACACCCAAAAACTTCTTGACCTAATAAATGAATCTGGAAAAACAGTGGGATACAAAATCAATATCCAGAAATCAAAGGCATTTTTGTATAATAACAATGGAACAACACAGGCAGAAATAAAAAATTCCATCCAATATAGAAAAAAGAAAAATAAAATGCCTAGGAATAAACCTAACCAAAGAGATAAAAGACCTGTATTCAGAAAACTACACAACATAAAAAAAGAAATTAAGGAAGACACAAAGAAATGGAAACATATACCATGTTCATGGATTGGAACAATTAACATCATCAACATGTCCATACTACCCACAGCAACTTATAGATTTAATACAATACCTATTAAAGTACCAATGGCATATTTCACAGACATAGAACAAACACTTCAAAAATTTATATGGAACGATAAGCGACCCTGAATAGCTTCTGCAATTTTGAGAAAGAAGAACAAAGTAGGAGGGATCACAATACTTGATACCAAACTATATTACAAAGCTACTGTAATCAAAACAGCCTGGTTCTGGCATAAAAACAGGAACATGGACCTCAGCTGGAAGAAGCAGCTACTTGGGTTGCGGCACCTGTCCAAATTTGGGTGGCAGTGGGCGGCATTCTCCGCGCGAGACTCCAGAATTTTAAGGCTGTGTGCAGAGATTTGAAAAATGGCAACAAATGAAAGTGCCAGCATCTTTAGTTCAGCGTCCTTGGCTGTGGAGTACGTAGATTCACTTTTACCTGAGAACCCTCTGCAAAAACCATTTAAAAATGCTTGGAACTATATGTTGGACAGTTACACAAAGTTCCAGATTGCAACATGGGGCTCCCTGGTAGTTCACGAGGTCCTTTATTTCTTGTTCTGTTTACTTGGGTTTTTGTTTCAATTTATACCTTACATGAAGAAGTACAAAATTCAAAAGGATAAACCAGAAACATGGGAAAACCAGTGGAAATGCTTTAAAGTACTTCTCTTTAACCACTTTTGTATCCAGCTTCCTTTGATTTGTGGAACTTATTATTTTACAGAGTATTTCAATATTACTTATGGTTGGGAAAGTATGCCAAGATGGTATATGATTTTGGCAAGATGCTTTGGTTGTGCGGTGATCAAGGACACCTGGACACCTGGCACTATTTTCTACATAGGCTCTTACACCACAAAAAAATATATATAAATATATTCATAAAATTCATCATGAGTTTCAGGCTCCATTTGGAATGGAAGCTGAATATGCACATCCCCTGGAAACCCTGATTCGTGGAACTGGATTTTTCATTGGAATCATTCTTTTATGCTATCATGTAGTTCTTCTTTGGGCCTGGGTGACCATTCATTTGCTAGAAACTATCGATGTCCACAGTGGTTATGACATCCCTCTCAACCCTTTAAACCTCATCCCCTTCTATGCTGGTTCTCCACACCATGATTTCCACCACATGAACTTCATCGGAAACTATGTGTCAACATTTATGTGGTGGGATCTACTTTTTGGAACAGACTCTCAATTTACTGCCTATAGAGAAAAGATGAAGAAGACTGAGAAAAAGACTGAGTAAATATTTATGTAACACTTCCTGAAGATGTACATTTTCCTGAATTAAAATTAGTGGCTAACATTGCCTCTGGGGAGCAGAAAGAAGCATAGATCTTGTCTGCTGAGTGATAAAAGTTAACAACCTTTGTCTTCCTAGTGGGAACTTTTTCTACTTCCCATTCAAGTTCTGTATGTGTAGAAATAAGTAAGAAAGTCTCAAACACCATGTTGCTAACCTTACAAAAAGGTTTTAAATAATAGAAGATCTATATCTTTTCCCCTCCAGTAACACCACAGGCCTGAAATTGATACTGGTCTTTCAATATTTTAAATATACAGTGACCATTTTTAAAAATTTTTTTTATTGATTATGCTGTTACAGTTGTTCTATTCCCCCTTTCATTCCCCTCCACCCTACCTCCCCATCCCCACCATTACCCCCCCTTTAGTTTATGACCATGTGTCTCAAGTCCTTTAGATTCTATATTTCCCATGCTATTCTTGCCCCCCCCTTCTATTTTCTATCTACTGTCTATGCTACTTATTTTCTGTACCTTCTCCCCTCTTCTCCTCCTCCCACTCCCCTGTTGCTAACCCTCCTTGAGATCTTCATTTCTATGTTTCTGCTCCTGATCTAGCTGTCCTTTTAGTTTGCTTTTGTTTTAGGTGTGGTTGTTAATAACTGTGAGTTTGTTGTCCTTTCACTGTTCATGTTTCTTTAACTTCTTTTTCTTAGATAAGTCCCTTTAACATTTCATATAATAAGGGCTTGGTGATGATGAACTCCTTGAATTTGATCTTATCTGAGAAGCACCTTATCTGTCCTTCCATTCTAAATGAAAGCTTTGCTGGATAGAGCAATCTTGGTTGTAGGTCTTTGGATTTCATGACTTGGACTACCTCTTTCCAGCCCCTTCTTGCCTGTAAGGTCTTTTGAGAAATCCAGTGACAGTCTGATGGGGACTCCTTTGTAGGTGACTGTCCCCTTATCTCTTGCTGCTTCTAGGATTCTCTCCTTCATTTTAATCTTTGCTAATGTAATGATGATGTGCCTTGGTGTGTTCCTTCTTGGGTCCAACTTCTTTGGGACTCTCTGAGCTTCCTGGATTTCCTGGAAGTCTATTTCCTTTGCCAGATTGGGGAAATTTTCCTTTATTATTTGTTCAAATAAGTTTTCCACTGGTGGCTGTGCCTTTCCCCCTTCTGGTACCCCTATAATTCAGATGTTGGAGCATTTAAAGATGTCCTGGAGGTTCCTAAGACTCTCCTCATTTTTTTGATTTTTGCTTCTTGACTCTTTTCTGTTAGGACATTATTTGCTTTCTTCTGGTCCACTCCATTGATTTGAGTCCCAGTTTCCTTTTCATTGCTATTGGTGTCCTGTGCAATTCCATTCACTTCAATTAGTTTCGCCTTCATATATTTGTCTAATTTGTGGCTATAATCAACCAGTTCTGTGAGGATCCTGATGACCAGTGTTTTAAACTGTGCGTCTGAGAGTTTTGCTATTTCTTCATCGCTTAGATCTATGGGCTCTGAGGCTTTGAGATCTTCTTGTGACATTTTGGGTCTGTTCGCGCCCTTTAATTGTGAGAAGCGGGGCCTTGGACTCCCAGGTCTCTGGGTTGTGACGCTGTATGTGGGGACGTGGTCAGAGTGGGGAAATGGCAACCCCCTCTGCTGTTTCTCACAGCTGGGTGAAGAGCAGCATCTTAGGTGGTTCACAAGGGCCGGGCCACTCAGAGTCACTGGGTTATGACACTGTATGTGGAGGTGGGGTCAGAGCAGGGAAATGGTGGCGCCCTCCGCTGCCGCTTGCTGCGGGGACCCGCCAGCCCTGGTCCAACCGGCCACTCCCTCGCCTGTCCACCCGCCTGTCCACCCGTGCACAAATGCGCAACCACAGTCAACACGCAGCACTGCTCCCCCACTGTCTCCCTTGAGGTCGCTCTCCTGGTTGCTCGCTCAGTCGCTCACTAGGTCCAACCCTGCGCCTGGATTCCGCGCGCCTGAGTCTGTCTGACCGAGTCCTTCTGTGCAACCCTGCTTCACTAGCTGCTGGTTTCGCCCCTTACCGGTCAGGCTGAAGAATTTGTTGTTAACGGACTTCTGAAACGTTCAATTTTCCGTGTTCTGGCTGTGTTTTCTGTTGCTAATATTTAGTTGTCTATACAGTGACCATTTGAAAAACTCTTTAATAGTGGATAATGGGCTCCTGTGGAACTTTAAACATTTTTTAGAGTTTGCCTAAAGATAAAAATATCATGGGTTGAATGGCATCGACTGATCCAGTGTGGATGAGGCTGCAAATATCAGAGCTGGCCAGCCCCGTGAGTTTCTACTCTGGTCTGCAGCTGACCAGTTTGGGGTGATTTCTGTTGTTTTGGGAAATCCTTATGGGTTCCAGTGTACTACTGGCATCTAAGTATTTCTGAATTGATATAAGTGGAATATTTTAGTCTAAAAGTTTCCATGTTCCTTGAATTTTTTAAAAAATGAAGCTTTATTTCTGCTATTTACCCATTAATTTTTGAAAATCAGGTTTTTATTACACTTAAAGCTATATCTTGAAACTTTGTGAACTGATTTGTATTTGCACTTGGAGCTATTAAAATAAATGTGTTTTTTTTTCTGTCTGATTACCTGGTTTCCAGTTTTGAACATCAGCTGTCACCTTTTATTTTATTCTTATGAGGAAAAGTACAGAGATCATTAAATTATTAAGTTTTGTAGTAAAAGGAAAAGGAAAAAACAACCAGGAACATGAACCAATGAAACAGAATAGAGAGCCCAGAAATAGATCCAAGTCTCTACAGTCAATTAATATTCCACAAAGGGGCAGCAACATAAAATGGAGTAAAAATAACCTCTTCAAGAAATGGTGTTGAGAGAACTGGACAGCTACATGCAAAAAATTGAAACTCGAGAACCAACTTCCACCATACACTAAAATAAATTCAAGGTGGATAAGAGATTTAAATGTAAGCTGGGACATCATTAAAGTCCTAGAGAAGAACATAGGCAGGAAAATCTCAGATATTTCATGCAGCAACATTTTAACTGATATATCCTCTACAGCAAGTTACATAAAAAAAGAATAAACAAATGGGATCTCACCAAAATAAAAAGCTTCTGCATGGCTAAAGAAAACAGTATTAAAATAAAAAGAGAACCAACTTGTTGGGAACTGCTGTGCCTGGTTTCAGGAGTTGTAACTGCCCCCCATGGCTAAGACTGAGTGAGCAACCTTCGGAATGGGAGCCACTTAGGAGACAAAGCTTGTCTGTGGCAGCAAGCACTGCTTCTGCTTCTTCCCCTGTCCCCAATGCTTGGTCAGGTATTTAGAGATGGGTAAGACCCCTCAGAGGAGGGGTAACCTAAGCCAGACACGATCACATGGGAGGCCATCTTGGAAGGACTTGGGGGGCTGTAACAAAGAGGGAGTGATGGACCCTCTCCCCCTGGCTATTCTGACATAGCCAGAGTCCCCATGTCCTCTGAGAGAAGCACTTCCTGGCTCTAATCCACTTAAGCCTGAAAACCTATGATGGGGGAGGCAGTGCAGCATCTTGCATGCTGGAGCAGGATCTGGGGTGATCGGGCATAAGAAAGAATTCACAAAGTCCTGTGAAGCCTGCTTTGCTAAGAGTGCTTTCATTCATATGGTAAGGGTCTGAGCCTGAAATGAGTATGTCTCCCAAAGTTTCTGCAACCCCCTTTCCTGACAGACACTGACTCAGATTAAGCCCTCAGATTTCTTTGAAATGTTATCTACTGTTTAATCCTTGCCGCTTGTATTCCTGTGTATTACAACCCAATAAAAGTCATTGAGGAAGGGGCTCCTGGCCCTTCTCCTCTGAGAGATTGGCCACCTCTCCTCCCCAAGCAGATCATGTCTTGGTAGTGTTACTTTCATCTGTGGTGGATGGGGAAACTTGTAGGCAAAGTCACCCCAACACCAACTGTATGGGAAAACATATTTGCCAATGGTATCTCAGACAAGGATTTAATCTCTGAAATATATAAAGAACTTATACAACTCCACTCTAAGAAGCAGCCCAATTAAAAAATGGGAAAGGACTTGAACAGACACTTCTCCAAGGAGGACATACAGAACATCCAGAGACACATGAAGAGATGCTCAATATCGTTAGCTATCAGAGAGATGCAAATTAAAACCACAATGAGATGCCATTTTACACTGGTCAGAATGGCCATCATAAACAAAGCAGCAAACAACAAGTGTTGGAGAGGTTGTGGAGAAAAGGGAACCCTAGTGCACTGTTGGTGGGATTGCAGACTGGTACAACCACTATAGAAAACAGTATGGAATTTTCTCAGAAAACTCAAAATGGATCTGCCTTTGACCCTGCAATTCCACTGATAGGATTATATCCTAAGAACCCTGAAACACCAATGCAAAAGAACATATGCACCTTGTACTCGCACAAAAGAACCAATGTTCATAGCAGCACAATTTACAATAGCCAAGTGTTGTGAGCAACCTAGATGTCCATCAGTAAATGAATGGATCAAAAAACAATGGTACATTTACACAATGGAATTCTATGAAGCAGAAAGAAAGGAAAAACTCCTACCCTTCATGACAGCAACGATGGAACTGGAAAGCATTATGTATGCTAAGCAAAATAAGACAGGTGGTAGAAGAAAAATACCATATGATATTAACAGGAACCTAAACAATAAAACAAACAAGCAAGCAAAATATAACCAAAGACACTGAAATAAAGAACAGGCTGACAGTGACCAGAGGGGAGAGGGGAGGGAATTTCAGGGGAAAAGGAGAAGAGTTTACGGGAAGAAGTATAAAGAACATGTGGACAAAAACTAGGGGGGATGGAAATGGAAGGGTTGGGTGGGTGGGCTGGGATGGGAGTAAAAGACAGAAAACTGTACTTGAACAATTAAAATAAAATTAAAAAAATTAACTTGTAATTTCAATCATATTTCCAGGGCTAGTCACATAATTGGGACTTAATAAATAATCCTGAATGAATGGCT